AAGCAGACTCCCTGCTGAGCAGGGAGCCCGATGCGGGACTCGATCCAGGGACTCCAGGATCATGACCTGAGCCGAAGGCAGTCGCCCAACCGACTGAGCCACCCAGGCGCCCTGTAGAATATGTTTTGAATGCTGGAGGCCATCTTGGCATGACACGGGAAGAGCTCATCTGAGAATGTAGCCAGCTAGAGGAGGGTAGAGACAAGAGATGGTGTGATGGGTAATTTTATGAGTCAACTTGGCTAGGCCACAGCATCCAAGTATTTGGTCAAATATGTCTGGATGTTGCTGTATGGGAATATTTTAGATGAAATTAACATTTAAATTAGTAGATTTTGTGTAAAGAAGATTACCCTCCAGAATGTGGGTGGGCCTCGTCCAATCAGTTGAAGGCCGTAATAGAAAAAAACTGATATCCCGTGAGGAAGAGGGAATTCTGCTTTAAAGACTGCCTTGGGACTTGAGCTGCACCATCAACTCTTCCCTGGGTCTCCAGCCTGCTGGTCTACCCTGCAGATTTTGGACTTGCTAAGCCCCGCAATTGTGTGCACAAATTCCTTCAAAAATCTTTCTCCCTCTATCTCTCTATCTTCCACCTACCCCTCTTTCTCTGGAGACCCCTGACAATTACAGATGGCCCAACAGATTCCTGATGTCACTGCTTTTAACATTTGGTCCAGCCAGACATGACAGCAAGTACTCCTGTATTTTTCATTTAAGTGGTCATCTTGAATTGGATTTCCATCACTTACAACCCAAAGGGTCCATCTCAGGAGGAGGCAGGAGCTCACACTGACTGAGCTCTTCTTCCATGCCAGACCCAGAATTCCCCTTTTACAGTCAACCTGGGCCTTGAAGGATGCATAGAAGTTCATGTGGGCACAAGGAGGACAGGGTTGAGTGAGCATGTGCAAAGACACGGAGAAGTGATAGAGCGTGGAAGCCTGGGAATCCAGAGTTCAGTGTGGCTGCAGTGAAAGGCAAAAGATCAGAGTGGAAAAACTGTCAGGTAATGTAAGACTTTGAATGACAGGCAGAGGAGTTTGGACGTTGTCCAGAGGACAGCGGGGAGAGCAGTGCAGAGTCTGAAGGAGAGCCAGGTTTGGGCTGGGTCACTGCAGTGTGAGGGACACAGTGAAGCAGAGAGAAGATAGAGGCAGAGAGGAATGATTTTCTGGCTGGAGTTTTGCCTAATGCTCCTGAAATCATCTTCTGTATGTCCTTTCTTTCTCATCAGGTAGGACAGCATGGTGGTTAGTGATATGGGCTTCTGCAGCCAAGTCCATAAGCTCTGCCACTTACGGTCTAAGTCTTGCTGCCTCAATGTCCTCAGTGAAGATTATCTACTTCTTAGTAATGTCTTTTTTTAAAAAAACATTTTATTTATTTATTTATTTGAGAGAGAGTGTGAGAGAACATAAGCAGGGGGAGGGGCAGAGAGAAAGAGAATTTTAAGCAGACTCTCCACTCAATGCAGAGCCCCATGCGGGGCTCGATATCACGACCCTGAGATCACGACGTCATGACCTGAGCTGAAATCAAGAGTCGGATGCTTAACTGACTGAGCCACCCAGGCGCCCCAGTAATGTCTTATAATGATTAAATGTTGCTACATACTTAGGGCTCAGCACAGTGCTTGACACATAGCAAACAGCTAGAAGTTAGTAGCTTACTCCTCCCAAGGCCAGTGCGTAGGCCCCTGGGCTACAAACCCGAGGTCCTAGGAGGACAGTTGTGGCAGGCTCTCTGGCCCTCTTCCCTCTTCCTATTCCAGCCCCACCTGTCTTTCCCAGGGGTCACTCCTGCTCCCTCCAGTTCTCACAGAGGCATGGCCAGCCGGGGCCCCAGGGAGCTGGGAAGGGTCATACCAGGGACAGGAGTAGAAAGGGCTTTTAGCTCTGGAAACAGATTCTTATCCAAATCTCAGGCTGGGGAATTGGGCTGGAATGGGTGAAAACCAGCTTCCCAGCCCTGCACAGGCCCAAAGGGGGTGTCTCGGAAGCACAGAGGCTGTGTACTTGGCCCTTTTTACTCTGACTTCCAGATGCAGAGGTGAGAGGCTCAAAGGCGGCTCAGTCTCCCCAGGGACTCACTGTGGGAAGCAACTTCAATAAGATGGATAAAATGCTAAAAGTTCAGAGTCAAAAGGCATCCTTGAATTCCCAGCCTTTTTAGTCTTTTTCCCACTGTATGGTGCAGTAGAAACGACAGCTCTGGCACCAACTTAGGGGGACCCTGGATAAGTCATTGCTTCCTTGGCCTCGATTTTTTCCCAAACACCCAATGATGGGGGGGGTAGATTCAAAGGTGGAAAATGGGGTTCACCTTGTGGACCGGCTCTGATCAGTTGTTAGTGGCTGCCTGGCTGGCTGGCTAGAGCCCTGGGATTGAAATAGCAACAAACGTTGTGCGCGTGGAAGGGAGTGGGCGGCACATGCGCAGTCCTTAGCCTGGGTGGGTTTTGGTCTCAGCACTGACGCGGATTATCATGCCTGGCCCAGTCCCCTCGGTGGACTCTGGCTTCAGCAGTGCTCCTCGTGGGCCCCACAGAAGCTCAGGAGCTGCTTGAGGCCCCCACCTCTGTACACATTCTCTGGACCTTCCCACTTCTTGCCTGGTTAATGCCAGTGTCTGCTGGGGAGAGCTGTGTACTTTGGATTCAACATGGAACAACTTTCCAATACATGAGCATTGATGTCCTTGCTGATAGAAGAGCGGGAGTCAGTCCTCATAGAAAAGGAAGCTGGAGCCCATTGTAGCCCACACACCCTGCTTGCTGGCTCAGAACTCCTGTCACCCAAGTCCCCAGCCTCCCTTCATCTCTCTCTTCCTGCCCTGCCCAGTGGCACGCCTTCCTGTCCTTCTCCTCTAGCCAGCGGCTCGAAGCCTCTTTATTGCGTCACTCATCAAGTCCTGATAAGCACTGAGAAACGCATTCACTATGAGGTGCCAATTACTAAGAATAGCTGGAGATGAATTTGAACTGGTGAGATTCCAGGCATCCACAAGCTGAAGGCTTGTGGTCACAAGAGGAGGGAACCGTCACTGAACAGCAGAACGCTGTGCTTCAATTGTGAGGAGAGTTGTTCTGCCAACAGTCTAGAACTTGAGACGTTGCAGCGAGGGGGGCCCTGCCCCATTCGGCATACAGTGGAGAAGGGGGTGGTCCCCGGGGCCAGAGCGCCTGGGGTTTGAATGCTGGCTCCACTGTTTCCTCACGTGTGACCTAGCGGAAGTCACTTAGCCTCTTTGTGCCCCAGTCTTCTGGTAGTGAAACGGAGTCGGCGAGAGCGATGGCACCTTCCTCATGGAGCTCAGGGGAGTAGACGAGCTTTGTGCTTAGGCGGCATGGGGCCAGTGCTATCTCAGTGTTGGCTGTTACCACCAGGCTCCCTGGGGGGCCATGCACTAATTCCAGCCATTGCTGGACCAGGGTCCAGCCCGGTGCCAGTCTGTAGCAGGTGTTGGCGAACATGAGCCCCCTCCTTTTACCTTCATTTTGGAATCACCTCCAGAGCCAGGTCAGGAGCTAGAGAAGAAAGCATGGAGAATTTCTCGGCGTGGTTGCTGTCTCTGGGAGCCAGCTACTAGAAGGTCGTTGTGGCTTTGTCTCCACTGAAATCAGAGAGTCCAGCAGTTTCTCTCTCTCTCTCTGCCCCTCCCATTGAGCACCACTCGCCGCCCACAGTCCCGGCTGTCTCAGCAGCCATGTTGGGTGGAACACGACCTGCCGCCTGCCCAACCTCAGCTGATTGGACCTAGGATTGGTCCCTGGCCCCAGGGCCACCCACTCAGATTTTGCCTGGGGAATTTGGAGTTGGGAAACGGACACCGAGCCAGGGATGGTGGAGGAGCTATGGCTGAAAGGTGGAGGATTAGGACGGCCAAGCTCACGCTGAGCTCTGAGGACACAGAGGAAGGGGTGACAGAGACAGGCGGCCTCAACTGAGAGACCCGCTCCTCTGAGACGCCTTGAATCAGAGCCACCTTCCACTTCCAAGTGGAGTTTCACGAGACACCTCCCCTGATGACCCCTCTTCCCTGGATCTAGCCTGAGAGCATCCCTGGGCCCTATAACTGGGAGGGCCTTTACTTACCTCCTGCCAGCTCCTTGGAGTTACACCCTCCTGCCTCAGGCCCTAGCTTCTTTCCCTGAGGTCCCACTGGATGGAATTTCATGCCCCTCCCTCCCTCCCTCCCTCACATCCTGTCTTGATGGCCTCAGGAGAAGCAGCTGTGGTCATGCTGCCCCGAGTGAATCTGGGGCATCCCGTGCTTAGAGGTAATCCTCTGGGGCTCCTGCCTTCAACTCTGCTTTCTGGAACTGAGCAAAGTTCCTATCACATGGCTTCATTCCCTGCTATCTTTCTCTGAGAAGACTCAAAGCCCAGCCCAGCCCATCTCCTGCGGCCCCAGCCCCCCTGCCCCAAGCCAGCCATGGCCATTTCATCTTGTCCTTCATGCCCAACCCAGATCCTAGCACTGGGTCCTGTTTCCCACTTTTGAAGGGCCAAGACTGTATGTTTTTTTATTTGAGAGTCTTGAATCTGCTGCCCCAATCCACACTCACTCCCGGAAGCTGGAAATGAAAGCAGTTTATTTGTTTTTATTAATTTGTTTCAGGGGAAAGCAATTTATTTTGTTAATGAGTTCAGAGGGAGGTTTGTGGCAGCAATTGGGGGGGGGGTGCAGTGGAGAGACCCAGGAGTCAGGTCCTGTTAGAATTCAAGGGAGAACTCGTGATTTCTTGAGAATTCCCTTGAACCTTGAGATCCCAGGGCTGGGAGAGACCAAATTCCCAGGACTGGAAGAAAGAAACGAGAGTCCGGATCCCGGGGGCCGTCTTCGGAACTGCTACTTCCTCCTCTGTGTTGACCCTCGGGGGTGGCCTGTGGAGCTCCTTATGCAGCCCTCCTTTGGGGCCAACGGGAGTCGGGAAGCCTTGGGTGCGGACTGTACGTTTCCAGGGTCCCTGCCCACTGGCATCTCCCCAGGCTGCTTCCAGGCTTTGTGTTCAGGACGGTGGGTGCAGAGCTCCCTGGCTTCTCGGGGTGAATTTGGTTTCTCCTTCTGGACTTTAGAAGAAGGTTCTGTGGGGCAGAGGAAGCAGAGCAGGCGGGTGCAGGCCTTGTGGGCACACACTCAGCCCAGGGAGCCCCCAGCCTGGTGGCACAAGGCGGATCCCAAGCAGCTCCACAGCAACCACAGCCAGAGCCCACAGGAGGCTGGGGAGAGTGGAGGGGATATGTGGGATAAGCTAGGAGGGGACCAGAAGGCAGAGGGCTGCGGTCCCTCACGAAGAGCGCATGACAAGTGGCAGCAAACATAGGGCCACTGAGGCCATCCCAGGAGCCATGGCATAGCAGGCCACCTGTCTAGGGAGCGTGAGGCCCTAATGTTTTGAGAAACTTGTAACAGAAAAGTCAACAAGTCCGGGCTTGGGTCTGCCCCAGATACTGCCAGCTGTGGGCTTCAGGCCACGCCAAACACCAGTCTATGGCCACCAGCCAGCTCTGTCGCGGAGTGGGAAACACAGCCCCAAACCGGGCTCTGCAGTGTCCCCCAGAGGACACTGTCAGGAGAGCCAGAGCCAAGGGAGATAGATGGCACAGACGAAAGTTTGGCCCAAGCTGGGCTCAGGCCATGACAAGTCACAACAGGACATGAACAGCTCCGATAGGCCAACCCTGGTTCTTTGGCCCAGCCTGAATTGCCCTGGCTCCGCCCAAGCCCGGGGGCCCGGTGGAGCAGGGGCTCCCAGAAGGTGCTGTCCGCAGGGAAGGGAGGCACATTTTGCTGAGGCCACCTCTGGGGGCAAATCCAGGCTGTACTCCCTTGGGCTCACCCAGCCCGTCATGCCTGGTTTGAGGCACTGTGCCCAGCAGAGAATGGTGCTCACTGCTCCATCCCGCTCCTGTGGGTGCCACATGGGACCCGTGGCGGGTCTCAAGGGCTGTTAGGATACCCAGACCCTGAGCATGCTACAGACTGGGCTCTGCTTGCCTTCCCTGAGCAGGAGGGTCTTTGAGTTGGACAAAATTCCAGGGTGGCTCACAGCAGGCCTGGATGGCACTCCAGGGATGGTGCCTTGTGCAGCCCTCCAGACACCAGTCCAAAGAACCCACCAGCTCCGGCAGCAGACGGCCACTGCACGCAGCATGGACAGACAGGGCCCTGCAGCACAAGGTGGATCCCTATTCACCGTGGGGTCTGCCGGGCTCCAGCTGCAGGAGGAACCCGGGTCTGGGCACGGGAGCACGGTCTTCAAGGACCTTTCAGACCGGCTGGGGGCTTTTGGCTGCAGAGGAGGGAAGACAAGAGCTACATATGCAGAGCAGAGCAGGAAACACAAAACAGGGCTTGGTTATTTCCAGGCAGAGCCCCCATCAGACCTTTCCCTTCACTTGCCTCCTGCCTCGGGTCCTGCCTAGGCTCTGGATCCAGAATTAGTTGCTACAAGACCTTGATTTCTCCTAGATGTGCACAGAACTCAGCCCATGCTGGCCAGAGGAAGAAAAGGCAAGCAGGGGGCTGAAGAATACATGTGTGGATGGTAGGAAGGTGATGAGGATGGAGACTAGACACGAGAGAGGCACAGAGACAGAGAGAGAGGAGAGAAATGGATACACAGTAACAAAGACTAGCACCGACTCAGGCCAGGAATCAAGGAAGCAAGGGGGAGAAGGATGAAGGAGAGTGGGGCAGATGGGAGAGAAAGACTGATGGGAAAGATGCAGGAGAGGGAGAGAGGGAAAGGAGAGACAGAGACAGAGAGAAGAGAGAGACAATGAGATAGAGAGACCCATGCAGATACAAGGAGAGACAGACATATAGGGGATCGTAGAGCAAGATGGAGACTGGCCCAAGCTCCCTGGAGATCCTGCGGGAGGGGGCCAAACCCTGTGGTCCTGGCTGCTTAGAGACGCAGCCCAAGGGAATGCAGTTACATATCGGGAAGAACAACTAGATAGTAAAAGACATGGAAATCTTTAAACTAGCTAATGATGGTGCAGGGGATGAAGTCCTGAGTGGAGAATCAGAAATCCTGAGTTTGTCCCAACTCCATCGTTTTCTTGGTCTGAGACCTTGACTGTCTCTGGGCCCCAGTTTTTCATATGTGAAGAAGAATCTGGACAAGACAGCCTAGGAAGCAGCTCTGACAATGCTGACATGGTGACCCAGTGACTTCGTTCTAGGCTCTCTCTGGCCCGGGAGCTTTTTAGGACTGTGAGAAGCTGTGTGCCCGGGCTAATCCTTCAGGCTGGATGAAGGCTGAGGGTAGACTGGGAGAAGGTGGCCCAGAGAGAGAGGAAGCAGAGGGCCAGGTGCTGCGCACACTTACAGCTCATCGTCGTACTCCTTGGGGGGGCAGACGGCAACAACAAGGTCGATCCAGTCCTGTGGGAAGAAGCCCTGTGACTCTGGGGCATGCTCAGCGATTGATGGTATGTCTTCCCTCGACATTCCATTCCCATTCCCTGGGCGCCGTGGCTCAGGATCAGCTGGCTGGGGCCTTCTTCCCACGGGGAGGTGGGCCCCGCTGGGGCTGGAGGGCCTTCTGGTGAGGATCGGCCTCACTGTGCGGACCCATGGTCTGGGGAAGCTTCCAGTCTCTGGGGCTTCACACACAACCACAGAGGCCAAGATTTACAGACCCTTGAAGGACACTAAGTTCCCAAATGTTGATCTGTGGACCAGGGCCAGGCAGTAATCTCAGAACCACCTGGGGGACTTCTTAAAACTCTAGACTCATAGACTTGGCCTCTGGAGATTTGGGGGAGGTCCTAGCTCCCTAGGTCACTCTGAAGCACATCCAATCAGGGAACTTTAGGCTTAGCTTTCTGACCCTAACACTTGAATCCCCTCAATGGCATCATTGCCATCCTTGGCTTATCTATCATTGTCCACCCTTGGCTTGGGTATATCCAATAAAAAGTATGTGAAATATCACTGGGCCCCTCTACCATGCAATAGCTCCTAACATTGCACTGAAAGCTCTCCTCAGGACTCCCTCCATCCAATCTAGTTCTGCTCTCAAGAAACACAGAGAACACTTCCGCTCCCTCTACCCTAATGCAGCCCTTCAGATAATCAAAGACAGTCATCATGTTACCCGTGAGTCTTCTCTTCTCCACATCCCTTCATGTGGGTCCCAGGCCCATCTGGTCAGCTTCCTCGGCTCTGAACTTAATACCTCAGGCTCGGCTGCCTGCACACAGTTGCACAGGTTGTGCACTGCACAACATGAGAGGGCACCATCCACACTGTAATCTGTAGGAGGGCATCCCCTCGGATTGTGCAGTGCATAGCCTGGGAGACCTTATATGGTGGCCTCGACCCAAGTGGCTAATGAGCACAGATCAGACTACCACCAGACCCTCCTCCATTTTGGGCACTCTACTTCTGTTAATGCTTTCCAGTAGCCCCAAGCATTTTTGATTCCTGATCAGTGTGCACTTAGAGAAGACCTTAAGTCTTCTTGCATGGGTTGCCATACTTTGTCTTCTGGAGTCTGTATTTGTGCCATTTGCTCTTTGGACTCAAGGTCAGGAACTGACATTTATTTTTCTGAATCTCATCGTGTCATATTGAGACCATTGGCTGGATGGGTTATGTGGATGTCACCCAAGAATTTCCTGGTCCCTGGATACCCGCCCTGGGATGGGGCATCCTGACTAAGCTCTGGCTGCAGAGGCCAGGGTTTAAGGCAGGCAGGCAGGGGAGGGAGGCAGAGAGGGGGTTTGCTCTTACCCCCTGACTCCAGGCCTTCTGCAGGGTGGCCTCAGCCTCAGCCAGGGTGTGGTCCATCATGATCTTGCCATTGATCGCCATGACCTCATCCCCTTTCACGATGCCACCTGCAAGATGAGGCTGACTGGTCAACTGGGCCGTTTGTGACGTGTGCCTGGCCCAGGACTTGACAAAGGCGGGGGGCAGGAGGTCACTGGAGGGCTGCAGAAGGAGCTTGACTCCTGGCTTCTGATGGGCTCAGAAGGCACGAGGGGAAACAATCCACCAGGTTACTCAAAGAGCACTTCCTACCCACCCTGTCCGTACTCCCTCACCCCAGCTCAGTAGAATCAGGACACCAATGATGAACCATTGCCTCCCTAGCCTTTGTACAGGCCTCTGCTATCACAGAGGGAGGCAGACCTGCATTGCCCACGAAGTTAGCAGAAATATGAGCTAGTTCTGTGAGCCGTCCCTGTCTGTGCTCGAACACTGCCAGTCTGCATCAGGCCCCTGACTAGGCCAAGCTCCTTCCTACCCCAGAGCCTTCACGTGCTATTCTACCTGGGACACTTGCCACCCCCGCCCCCTTCTTCTCTTCTTCTAGGGCTAAGATGAAATGCCTCCTCAGAGAGGACTGCTCCGACCTACACGCAATCTCGAGCAGGTCTTTCCTATTGTTCTCTCAAAGAATCCCAGTCTCTTCCTGCAGAGCATTTTCACAATCTGTAGTTATATATTTGTCAACCGATGGTCCCTCCCACCAGACTGTCAGCTCCACGAGAGCAGGGACCGTCTCTTTGGTTGACCCCTATATCCACGGCACTTACCATAATACCTAGCACAAAATAGGAACTCAACATATTTTTCGAACAAATGAATGATGTTAAAGGTCTTCCTGGGTAAGATGACCTATAGTCCAATAAATTTGGGAGGGGCTGAGTTATAAGCTAAGCAAAGTTACTCACTGCAGAACTTGTCAGAGCCTTGAATATGCTAATATGTATTGTGGCTCTCCAAGAAGTGGATAGATTGTGCATGGTTTCTCATACATTTTCAACTTCAGAACCTTTAAAAAAATGTTTTTTAAGGACTTTTTCTTAGTTCTGGTGTCCACAGCACATTTTCTGGTTTATGTTGAAATAGATTACCCAGAAGTCTTGCAGGCATGAAGACCAGAGGAATGTAGTGATTGATACTGAAGATGATGTGGCAGTGGCTTAAAACACTGCTCCTGGAGAAAAGGTCACCAGCTGCTGGTGTGTCCAAAGCAGTGTGGGACCAGACTGTAGACAGCAGCTTCCTCTGGCCAGTGGGCCTGGGGAGAGGAGACTTTCACTTTTTCCTTTTGTATGAGTTCCAGATGGAGCCTCAGGAGCAACAAGGCAAGGGTTGGGCTGGGGCTTTGTAAGGAGGGGAGGGTCCCATTTATTCTGGTCCTCTTTCCCTGCCAGACACAGCAGACTGGCCTCAGCTGGCCCAGAAGTGAGGACAGAAGAGGAAGAGTGCGTGGGCCGGGAGGGCAGCCGGGGGCCATGGCAGCTGCCTAGGGAGCGGGCCCCCTCCACAGCTGACATGACAGCTTAGAATGTGGCTGTGAGAGGCAGGCCGGAGCTCACCAAGGCCATAGGTGGCCCAGCTGGACTCACCTCTGTAGCCCACAGAACCAGGTGACTTTCCCATCACTCTGCCTCCCGCCTCAAGTGTTCACCCACCTTCCATTCTACCGACTGCAGCCTAGCACCTGCCCAGGAGGGACCTGACCACGGGATTCCTGCTCAGGCCTGGAAAGGTGAGGGGCCCAAGGCTCCTCCTTCGAGGCCACTGATTCCTTCACAAAAGACCCAAGACTATTGAAAATGCTCCTGGTTTTGGAAGAATCACTAATGGTGAGTCGCAGATACTCTTGGGCAGGTGAGCAGGTTTAAGGCAAGAGTAAAGCAAAATACCAAACAGCTTGGGCTCCAGTCCTGCCTCCACCACTTACCGGCTATGGGTCCTTGAACAAGCATTTTACCTTTCTGTGCCTTGGTTTCCTAAGCTGTAAGATGAGAGTAATTACAGTACCTACTTTCGGTGCTGTCATGAGGATTAAACGAGTTAATAATACACGTGAACGCTTCAGACACAGAGTAGGTGCAGGTACTTAGAATCACATCTGGCACATGGTGAGTTCTTGATAGACATTAGCCCTTATTATTAAAAGGGCAGGGAAGGTTTGGATGCTTTCTTTCCTGCCTTTACATGTGCTGCTCCCTCTTCCTGGAAAGTTCTTTCCCACCATCATGAGGCTAACATTGACTTACCTTTTCTTTTTTCTTTTATTTTTTAAAGATTTTATTTATTTATTTGACAGAGGCAGAGATAGCGAGAGCAGAAACACAAGCAGCGGGAGTGGGAGAGGGAGAAGCAGGCTTCCCGCGGAGCAGGGAGCCCGATGTGGGGCTCGATCCCAGGACCCTGGGATCATGACCTGAGCCGAAGGCAGCCGCTTAACGACTGAGCCACCCAGGCGCCCCATTGACTTACCTTTTAAGCTCAGGTATGGTGCTTGTAGGGAGCCTTCCCCCATGGCCCCCTTTTCCCTTGGTTGGGTCAGGGGCCCCTCAGGGTCCCACAACTGTCTGTCAGCTGACTGCCCTGTTATGGGTGGAATCTGGCAATTCTGAGCATGTTTTCACCACTAGATGGGGAGCCCCGGAGGGCAGGGTGGGGTCTGGTTGGCTGTATACCCATAGTCCTGGCACCATCATTTGCCCACGGGCAACGTGTGGGACTCAGAAGATGGACGGGTGGATCCAGATGGGGGAATTCTTGAGCAACGGTCGGACCACTCCAAGTGGGCAGCCGCGTGCTTTCCTGGCTCCCTGTAAAACCACTGTACCACCCCCAAACTGGGGCATGGCTGGTCCCCACTCACCGTGCCGCTCAGCAGCTCCCCCCTCATACACAGCCGAGACGACCACCTTCCCGATCGGGGAGTCCACACCGCCTTCTAGGGCCAGATCTAAGGATCCCTCCTGGATGGAGAAAAACAGGCCTTCAAGAGCCAAGCAGATAGCAGCCTGTGCACCCCTGGGTACCCAGGATCCTCTTGACAGGGCTACAGAGAGGGCCAGAGAAGCCATGGGGCCAATGACAACGCCATCAGGGAGGAACGGGGGCATGGACACTGAGTGGGAAAAGGGTAGGGATCTAAGGAGTCACCCAAGAGTCATCTCCAGAGTAGGAGAAGCAGGGCACCAAGATGGGAGGGGGCTGGGGCAGAGAAGGATGGTGGCCCGCCTGACCTCCATGTGTCCACATACCTTCTTAATGCGCAGGAGCCGGACATCCTTCCCTATGATCTGCTCTGGGGTGAACTAGAGGGAACAGATAGTGGGGAGCTTTGAGTCTGCCTGGAGGATGAGGGTGGGGGTCCCATAGAGTACATGGACAAGGGGACCCTTTCCAGCCCCACATCCATCGGTCTTCACCTGGGGGTCCCAGGCCTCATGGGGGCCACATGGACACACAAAGAGGTGACCACAGAAATCCCAGATCCATTCTTCCTGAGAATATTGTGAGGGCTGGGTGAGGACATGCCCTATAAGCACCCAGAAAACCACACAGCACTTGATACATAGTCAGTGCTCAGCAAATGTAACAGCTTTTTTTTTTTTTTAAAGATTTTATTTATTTATTTGACAGAGAGAGACACAGTGAGAGAGGGAACATAAGCAGGGGGAGTGGGGGAGGGAGAAGCAGGCTTCCCGCTGAGCAGGGAGCCCGATGTGGGGCTCGATCCCAGGACCCTGGGATCATGACCTGAGCCGAAGGCAGACGCTTAACGACTGAGCCACCCAGGCGCCCTGTAACAGCTCTTATAACCCCACTGTGCCCCAACACACACACCAGTCCTATGGGTCACACTAGAATGCTGTCTGCAATGAGCCTTCACAGAAAAGAGCAGATGGGGCTCCTTGGGGCTCCTCACATGCCCCACCTCATCCCTGGGACCCCCAGAGCCCAGAATGTACCACGATGGAGCACACTGTAACCCCCCACCCACAGTCCTAGGATGACTCCCCAGGGGAGGAGAGTGATCTCTCACCATGGAGTAGGGGTCAAAGCCTTCCTCATATTTGCGGAAATCCTGGAAGCAAAGGGAGGGTGTTAGGGCCACAGAGTACAGTTTCTTGAGGGTCACTGCAGGAAGCAAGCTTAGGGCAGAGGAAGAAGACGTGATTAGGTCAGATGTAGGGGAGAGAGTGGGGGGCCAGGTGTGGCCTGCATGGGGATGCAGGGAGGAGGCTGGAAGCCCCAGTAGCCAGAGCACCCCTGGCCGGGGAGAAGCAGGAAGCTCTGGAAGCATTGGGAGGAACCCAGCCCTGGACCCCACATTGTTGCAGCGGGGTGGGCGCCCGTGGCTGGCAGGGGCGCCTGCTGATGTCCAGATGGTCTGAGTGGCCCGTGTCGGCCTTGCTGAAGCTGTCATCTGCCCACAGCCTCAGGTCCTTTAGGTCCTCCCTGAGTTCCTCCAAGTGCTCATGCGAGGCCAGGTTCAGGCTCTGGGGGTGAAGACCCGCCTTTCTTCACCCGGTGCTCTGACCCCAAAGAAGGACAACAATGCTCAAGAGGCAGCTCTCCCTGGGGAATCCAGCCACAAGATGACTGGGGTACAGGGCGGTGGACCGTGCAAAAGAATGTCAGGCTCCAAGAGGAACAGGGGCGTCTGTGCCTGCCCAGTGCCCAGCACTGTTCTTTTTTTTTTTTTAATTTTATTATGTTATGTTAGTCACCATACAATACATCATTGGACTGTTCTTAATGTAATGCTTATCTAGAATGTAAGAGGCCTCCCAGACCCTTAGCCAGGAGAGGATGAAGGAGAAGACTTATCTCAGGGAACCTGGCTTGGTGAGGGCTGTGAAAACAGTGTCCCCAAGATGTAGAAACAAGGAGGTAAGAAGGAAGATGGGGGCAGAGTCAGCACACACTGCCTTCCTAGGAATCCCCCACAGAGAGCAGGAGCCGGGGGTCCACAGACTCGGGGGCCAGGCATGCCAAGTCCTAGGCAGCAAAGCCTCAGTTAGTCCCCATGGGCAGGCGGGAGCAGGTGAGAGGCCCTATGGCAGGGGCCCAGGTAGGCCCTGCTGGACTGAGGGGAGCCATCCCCAGCACGCAATTCCCTGGGCCACACCAAGTGTCCCCTGAGGCCTATGGTCAGCCTCAGGGGGAGGCCACTGCCTTCTTTATGCCCAGCATGCTGCAACCAAGCTCTGGGCACAAGATGAGGACCAAACATCCGCAGGTGGCTCCCTGGGCATCAATCTGCCCTCCCTCCTCACCCAGGCTTTGTCGCCCAGGCTCAGCCCCACAGAGCCTGGGAGTTTGGAGGCTGTCCCCACTCGAAGGCCACGGCCACTCCCAGGTCAGTCTCTGGGCATCAGGGCAGCAGACAGAGGAAGGGATGCAGCAAATCCATGGGCAGGAGAGGTCAAGAGGCAGGATATGGAGTCAACGCCCTTTCACTGAGGGCCCTGACTACTTCTGGCTATTTCTTCTAGAAAACTGGACAGTGCTGGCTATGGGCTTCCCCTTCTCCCTCCCTGTGAGAATCTGCTCTCAGAATGGGCATGATGGCAAGGGTTTGTGTCTTGTGTGAATTTAGATCATAGACTTATAAGCCACTACAGCTGGTCAGCCCTTGAAGAGGGAGCCCAACCCTTCAACAGATGGAGAAACTGAGGCCCAGAAAGGTGACATTCATGCCCAAGGTCACCCAGCCAGTGGGTAGTGGAGCAAGGGTTTGACTTCCAGTCTGGGTCCTTGGGCTCCTCCCTTCCCGCCACTCTCCCTTGGAGGGCTGTCTGTGCCCTAAACAACAAGGGCTGAAATGTCTATCTCATGATTAGACATGCGCTTTGCCAGGCGGGATGGTGGAGCAGGTAGGAGCCCGACCGTGCAGCCTGACCTCTTGCAAGTCCAGGGCCTGGGAGGAGCTGTGCCGTCATGGGTGCGTTTCCTAACATCTCGGCTTCAGTTTCTCATCTGCTTACCTCCTAGGGTCGTTACAAAGATTAAATGAGTTTATGTACATGAAGTATTTAGAAATAGTGCTTGGCACAGTGACAGTCGCCCGTCACTCCTCAGTCCTGGGCTGGGAGCAGCCTCCTTTGCAAACTCCCATGTGTCTCTGTGAAGCTGACACTTCCCTGTCGCTCCACCTGTAGTCACATGAGCCTGGAGTCTGGTGGTGGGTTAGCGGTGAGCTTGGCTGCAAGATCTTTCTCTATCGGGGGATCTCTTCCACCACTGGTTGAGACTGCCAACCCAGTGGCTGGCTTTGGGAACAGAAGCCCCCAGGAGGTGGGAAAGTAAGTGGCTGCTTGCCTGATAGAACTCACGGGCCAGGAAGGACATCCACATCCTTGTGCCCAGGAGCACCCCAGGCAGGTGGAGGACCTGGACTACCACTTCCTCCCTGACTGGTTCAGTGCCAGGCAAAGCTGTGAGCTGCCTCAAGGGGACGACACAGGGGAAGGGGCAGGGAGACACCTTCTGTCCTAGGGCTGGAGTGAGGGCCCATCTTGGCCTCTGCAATCCTTCGCGGCTTCCCTCTGCCCTGCTCCTCTTTGAACAAACAAAGCAAAAGAGCAGAGCCCCCAGGGATCCTGCTACTTTCTCAGCTGGGGCATGGAGTCTAATAAAGCCAGGGTCCCCTCCTGATAGAAGACCCTTCCCCACTCCTGGCTGCAGGCAACAGGGACACAGCTCTGGCCTGAGGCTCTGGTGGAGGGCCCTTGGGGCCGCCTCAGAGCCGGCTGGCACTCCCAGAGAGAGAAGTCGGAGCAGGAGGGACGGGGGTGGCGGAGAGGACTACACACGACAGGTATCGCTTTACTTGTCTGAACGCTGTCTGATAAACCACCATCCTCTTCAACATCTCCTGTGGCTGCCAGAAAAAAAAAAAAAGTTCCACGCTGGACGTTACCAATAGGCCTCGTCTGCCCTCTGGTGCCAAACCCCGGGCCTGCCAGCCTGGGGCTGCCCTGGCAACATCCCACTCCGAGTAGACACAGCCTGATTTAGGTCAGGGACCGGCCAGACGCCCCCAGGTACAGCAGCTCCCCGCTTCTAGTCAAGCAGACACCACCCTTTGGCCAGAGAACACACCCCGGGGGCACCAACAGGGGTTATCACAGGGGCATGAACTTTGCTCTTTGGGGAGCTGACAGGACAGCAAAAGCTCAAAATAAGTATCTGAGCTGTCCTGCCCTGACATTTGGATAGGGTTTCCTTGAAAGGGGAAGAACAATTCTGCCATGACTCTTTTCCCACCATGGGTGCGAGGCCAGTCAGTGCCTGGCACCCCCCGGGACATGGGGTTCCACATGAGTCCCTCAGCTGTAGGCGACTGGGGGTGGGCAGACCCTACTGCTCCCCCAGGACCACACCTCACACTCCCAGTCCAGGGAGGAGTGAGTGGCGAGATGGACAGAGTGAGTGGCCCCGCTTTGGATGGTCTCCCATCTGAGGGTGTTCTGTGTCGTGCCTCGCCAGGCCTTAGGGGCCGAGGCCAGGGCCAATGGAATCACTGGAGGTTTGGCAAGATGGCAATGTAGGTAAGAGCTTGAGCTCTGGAGTCTGAAAGACTCTGGAGTAAGTGGTAAGATCTGGCTCTGCCTAGGGCAACCGACTTACCCCCTCTAAGCCTCAGTATCCTGACACACGGTGGGCTCACAATAAGTCTGAGCTGTTACCATTCTTACGTCTAGAGGGAGCTCCAGCCTGTTTGGTACCCACATGGATTCATCTCTTGGTCAAGGAGAAGTCATGTGAGGTTGTGTCCCACCTCACTCTCCCTCCAGGGGCAGCAGAAGCCAGAGGAGACAGCCCTTGTCTGCTCCTCTGGAGATGCCCTGGAGGGGACCCGAGGGGCTTACCAGGACCTCAGATTTCACAGCTGGCCTGTAGATGAAGTTGGACTCCTGGTGGACCATGACGGGCTTGGAGATAGTAGACACGCCAGGGCCTCGTGGAGGCTGTGGGCTTGGGCAAAATGTCTACAAGGGTTAGTGTACAAGAAACCCCCATGAGGGCATGGCGGGAGTGGCCCAGGCCAACTGCCACGCTTTGACACACATGCAAATCCACCCCATGCACATGCTGAGCCCCCCTGGTTCATTCACCCTGTTGAAGGTGCCAGGGGTGTGATCTTCAGCAGAGAGATAAGAAGTCCATTGGCCACAGTGTGTTCTGAGGCCACAGAAACTAATGGGTGGCTCTCAGAAATCAGGGACTTGAGCCAGAGCCTAGTTCCGGGGGCACCAGCAGCCTCTGTCACTCAGAGGATACACTTTCCAGGCTCTCTCTCTGTGGCCATGGGTGCCATCTAGCCTCCTCTCTCCCTAAAGGCTATTTCTTCTGGCTGTGATTCCATTCCCCAGACTGCACACAAAGCATCTGCTGTCCCTGGCGGGTGGGCACGGAGGCTCTGGCCACTGGAGGTGGGGACCAGTCAGAGCAGCATCCAGGAGAGCTGACACAACCTGTCTGCTCTGCTCTAACACACTCCATCATCGTGGGTGAGACAAATCGAATCGGATCACAACCCTGCCCAGACTCTTCATGGGTCCCCACTGACTGCTGAGCTCCTTGGCTTGACTCACAAGCTCCTTCATGAGTTCCTTCCTGAGTTCCTCCTCGCCATCTTTATGTTCCCTGTACCTTTCATGCCCTTCCTCCCATCCTCCATGTACTACTCTCATCCTTCAAGGCTCAGCTCATCAGCCCTTTACTCTGCAAAGGTTCCTTCAACTTCTCGTTAGAATGAATCCTCCCCATAGCACCTGCCCTGGGCCATTTTACAGCTGAATCGTATCTGCTCTGCTGCTCATCCTTCAGATGGCAAAGTCCGGGAACGCACAGGTGTGCCAATTTCCTCACTGTCCCCTGCAGGATGGCTCCATGCTCCCCTTCTCCTCACACAAAGACACAAGGCTGGTGCTCAATCAATGCTTACTGAATCAAATTTGTCAAGGAAAAGCTGCTGCCCATCTTGATAGGGGGGACTCACAAGAAGGATATGACCATCTGTGCCAGCCTAACTCAGCCCCCTGTAAATCTGCTCCTGGCTGGGCTCTAGGACAAGACATCCCTGGAGTAGACAGACATCTCTGTCAGAGCTGCAAGGTCCATCAGAGGTCTAGAAGGAGTCCCCCTGAGAGTCCTCTGCCAGAAGCTGCCTCCTTGTTGGTGCCTGGCACTTTCTTTACTCCCACCTTCCCCCAAGCTCTCCTGAATGCTCTGAAATGCTTATTCTGCTCTTCATGCTGGGCCTCAAATCCATGCAGGGAAGGTTAATAAAAATCAGATCAGGTACTACTGACTGCCCTCTCGCAAAGCTCTTACCCTTAGCTGATGTGAGCTGCTTTTAACTCTGACTCAAGCCTGGCCCTACGGCAACTGCAGCAGAGGAATATTTTGTTTGTCCCTCCACAGGATCAAAGCTCCATATCTTCCTTGGGGATTGCCTCTTCCAAAATAGTCTTTGGATTAAGAACAACTAATAAGAAATATGTCTTTTTGAGAAAGATCACTGTTCAGCCTCCTGACATCCAAGGGGGGGGAGGGGGATAAAAAAACCTAGTCTTTTTATAGTAAATTTGGAGATTTCTAGGAACTCCTTGTCTTCATTTTTTCAGTAGCTGGAAGTTGGCCAGAAAGTTCTGGGTATTATACTTCAAGCCAATGGAATTGGCTAATTCCATAGAAAATGGCATTGTAATGTCTTAACACTGCACCGGACAGAGTTACCACTTCATTTACAGACCCTAATACTGCTCCACCGCTTCTCCTCCCTTCCTTTTCCCCTGGTTAACCTGGGGATTCATTTCCCATATTCCTGGTTTTCTGAGCTTATATCAAAAAGTGACTGGCTGTGACATAGAGCTCTGGTTATTCAGTAACGCAGCCTTGCAAGTACATATGGAATGTTACCAGTCGGTAGTAGCCAAGAGGAGCAAAGAGAAACCAACAGACATGGATACACAGTTGCTCATCACAAGTATCACAGGCAATTCACCATACAGGATAGCACTTCAAAATCAGTAGAAACTATGCACATGCAGGGTGACCTCAACATGCGGGTTGGGAGCTCATGCCTGGAAAATGGGTTGGAGTGATGTTTCTTCCAGTCTCCACTGGTGAAAGCAGCAGAGGGTGGGGGAAACAACAGCAGCCCTGCCCACTCTTTCTGCTTCGCAGCACAGCATGCGGAACAGGGGCAATACCTTTGGGGTGGGTGGGAAGCTCCGTTCAGGAACAGGGGAGTTAGTGGGCTTCCCACTGTGGTTCTTTGCCTCCCAGTCCTCTGCTGGATCTCCTGTGTCTCCAGCATGGAAGGGGTGGTTGCCCAGTGCCTCTTCCAGTGCCGAGGGTAGCGGGCGGGTAGGAGTCAGGTCTTGGGTGGGAATAGATGGTGGGGGAGGGATGGGAATGGGGGGTGGAGTGCGTTGCACCCAGGGTGAAGATGAGGCACACACATGGCCTGATGACGGAAGGACAGGGGGTGCAGGGACCTTGAGGGATGGGTTGGAGGGTGGAGGATGGGGCATCACGGGTAAGGCAGAGGGAGTCTTGGGGGGATAATAGAACATGTCCAAGGGGATGTCATCCAGGTCAGTGGTGTGGAGGTGCAGCCCGCCTGCGAAGCGTCTCAGGGGTGGGACCAGGGGAGACACAGAAGGTGGGGGAAGTGGGCGCCCCGTGGTCATCTGGGGGGTTGCAAGGAAGTTCTGTAATTGTCTGACTAGGGCTCCACTTCACAATACATTGAGTATAATGCTTTTCTGTTTCTTTTGCTGCTGGAGACCCACCACCCACAAACCAGAATCATGGGGGTATCACTTCTCTGTCACCTGGGTGCTCAGGTGAGCCCACACCAAGTGGCTAGGAGGGAGTGCCCAAATGCAGGATGGTGCTAAGGTATGCCACATGTGGGTGAAAAGTAAGGTGACTGGAACAGACTTGAGAGTGAGAGGGGCACTCTGAGCAATGACTCCAGGACAACATGCCTAATGGAGACCATCTCAGATGAGCTAGGACTTAGTGGTCACTCTGGAGATAAGCCCAGAAATACAGATCTGTCCCCCTTCCCAAGAGAGCCAGGCAGAGTGGGCTGGTAGGGGTGGCCCTGGACACGGAGGCTTGCCAGTGGCCATCTTGCCTCCCGCTGTCCCCAGAGTGGGTCATTCTGAAGGCAGCAGGAGGGCCTCTGTGGAAAGAAGGTCTCTGTTACCTCTGAAATCTCATTATCAGCAGAGGAAATCTGCTCAAGGCGCGTCTGACAAAGCCTTTCCACCCAATACTGAATCTTTTCCGATTCCTCAAGGTCTTCCCGCTCTGTCTCGGACACCTAGGACCCAAGGACAGTGCAAAAAGGAGAGGACAAAGGGCACACTGAGTCCCACGGGGGTGGCACACTCAGATCAGCAGCAGAGAAGCACTTCTTTAGAAAGTACTGTTGGGTGGGTCCACTCTCCAGGAAAAGACCCCGGCTTATTCCACCTGGCCCCAGAAGAGGCAGAAATTAAGAGGGAGAGGGTGCTGGGGAATCAGGTGGACTAACGGCACTTGTAGGCCAAATCAGAGGAGGGGCTCGTGCATTGTGTGGAACTAGTCGGGATTAGGCTCCCAGGGTCCCCACGAACACTGAGGCTCTTGTGATTTTCCAGTGGTCCTTTTTTAGGCTCCTAGCACATTCCAAAAGTTTAACTGCTCTTTTTTTCCCCCTCTAGGCTGCCTTGTCCTCAGAAGTACAAGTTGGATTTTATTTTTAATTTTGTAGCTTATTCTTTCCTAATGCCAGACCTAATGCACTTCACATTTTCCAGGATTACTCTGGTTTTGTAATTTAATCAGCTTGGCATTCTGATTCATGGAAGCATTAAAGAGAAGCAGAACGAATAACATCTCCAATAGTTAGGGAGTTAAGGTCACCCAACTCACCTAGGAAATAGGAGTTACTCATGCTGGATGATTGCTTTTGTCATGTCTTGAAGGGGACAACCTTAGATACATTTCCAGGTTGAAGAGGTCTAGCCTCGGATACATCCTATGTTTTGTTTTGTTGTTTTTTTTTTTAATTTATTTATTTGAGAGAAAGAGAGAGAGAGCGCGAGTGAGCATGCACGAACAGTGGGGAGGGGCAGAGGGTGAAGCAGAGTCCCCACTGAGCAGGAACCCAACACGGGGCTCGATCCCAGGACCTTGGGATCATGATCCGAGCTGAAGGCAGGCGCTTAATCGACTGAGCCACCCAGGAGCCCCTGGATACATCCTATGTTGATGGAAGCAGCCTCACACTCATTGGGGAATAGCTTCAGACACCACATCTGCACAAAGGGGTTTTAGCCTCAGACCCATACTCTCAGAGCCAAGGCAGGTTGGGGAAGTCTGGTCTTGGACTCATAACCTGGGTAGAGGGGCCAAACGGACTCGGACCTGATGATAAGTGGATGGAAGACTAACTTCAGTTCTACAATCTAGGCAGAGGGGTTAGCCTTAGGGTCTTACCCTACGTAGGGAGAGAGACCTCGTAGCCACCCCTAGGCTGGACAGACCTAGCCTTGGACTCATACTCTGATGGGGCTGGGATGGAGGAGACAGACTCAAACCTCTAGCCAGGTGGGTGAAGGGTTAACCTAAGTGTGACAATCTGGGCAGAGAGGCTAGCCTCAGACCCATACTTGAGCAAGGAGTCTAGTCTCTGTTCCAAACATACACCTAAGCCAGAGGCTAGTCTCCTTGATCCTGGGCAGATGGGATGATCCCACGTTCTAGACTGAGCAGAAGGGCAGGGCCCACTCCATCCCTGGACTCTACTTGCGGAAAACAACTCCAGCTGGTTCCCTGGGAGCTTGGTGGGGAATAACCAAGCCGTGCCCTGGGACGCTCACCTGGCCTCTGGGTAGGACACATACCTCCTGGGCCAGCCGGTTGATCTTCAGTTGTTTTTCCTTTTCCAGCATTTCCTCTTTCTCTTTGTAAAGCTTTTGCTCAA